TTTCTGGCAATAGCTCCTTGATTGCCCTTTTGTACAATTTTAGATTCTCAAAAGGAGTGATATAATATTTTGGAGGGATAAAAGGACTGCCCTTTAAAAGAGAATAAAGTATTCTCTGAGTCCAAAGAAAAGAGACCATAGTCACATAGTTAACTTCTAAGACAGTTGATTTAAGCCTTTGTCTAGTAAGTCAATGCCCATGTTTCTTCAGAAACCATTTATATTAACTTCTTCTCCTTTTTTATCCAATTTTTAAAATCCTTTGTGATTTTATTTTTGTGTTTGGTGTAAGAAGTGGTCCAGTTTTCCCAACACCATTTGCTGAATAGACTGTCTTCTCCTCATTGTATATTCCTGCCTCCTTTATTGTAAATGAATGGGCCATGTAAATGTGGGTTTATTTCTGGGCTCTCTATTCTGCTCTATTGATCTATGTGTCTATTTTTGTGCCAGTATCGTTTTGGGTTTTTTTGTTTTCTTTCTTTCTTTCTTTCTTTCTTTCTTTCTTTCTTTCTTTCTACTACTAAAGCTTTGCAGTGTATTTTGAAATCTAACACTGTGATACCTCTGCTTTGTTCTTCTTTCTCAAGATTTCTTTGGCTATTCAGGGTCTTTTGTTGTTCCATACAAATTTTCATATTATTTGTTCTAGTTCTATGAAAAATGATGTTGGCATATTGCACTAAATCTGTAGATTGCCTTGGGTAGTATGGACATTTTAACAATATTGATTCTTCCAATCCATAAGCATGGAATATCTTTTAATTTTTTTGTGTCATCTTCACTTTCTTTCATCAGTGTTTTATAGTTTTTAGAGTGCAGACCTTTTACCTTCTTGATTAAGGTTATTCCTAGGTATTTTATTATTTTTGGTACAATTATAAATGGTATTGTTATTCTTAATTTCCAATTGTACAGCATAGAAGAAATGGATAAAATCCATTTGTAATAACCTACTGAAACAGAATCAGGAAGAAGAAAATGTGAATAGACTGATTGCTAGCAATAAAATTGGATCAGTAATCAAAAAACTCCCAACAAACAAAAGTTCAGGACCAGATGGCTCCACAGATGAATTCTAGCAAACTTTAAAGAAGAGTTAATATCTAGTCTTCTCAAACTATTCCAAAAATAGAAGAGGAAGAAAAGTTTCAAAATTGATTCTATGAGACCAATGTTACCCTGTTATCAAAACCAGATAAAGACACTAAAAAAAGAGAGAACTACAACCCAGTATCTCTGGTGAACATAGATGCAAAAGTCCTCAATAGAATATTAGCAAACTGAATCCAATAATACACTGAAAAAAAATCATTGACCACTATCAAATGGGATTTATTCCAGGAATTAAGTGTGGTTCAGTATTTGCAAATCAATCAGTGTGATATATCACATCAACAAGAGAAAGGAGAAAACCATAGGATCATCTTAATAGACGCAGAAAAAGCATTTGACAAAGTATAACATCAATTCATGATGAAAACTGTCATCAAAGTGGGTTTACAGAGAAAATACCTCAACCTAATAAAGGCCTTATATGAAAAACCCACAGCTAACATCATACTCAGTGGTGAAAAACGGAGACATTTTCCTCTAAGATCAGGAACAAGTCAAGGATGTCCACTCTCACCACTTTTATTCAACATGGTACTGGAAGTCCTAGCCACAGCAATCAGACAAGAAAAAGAAATAAAAGGAATCCAAATTGGCAAGGAAGAAGTACAATTTTCACTACTTGCACATGACATGGTACTATATATAGAAAACCCTAAAGAGTCCAACCAAAAATTACTAGAATTGATAAATGAATTCAGTAAAGTCACAGGATACAAAATTAATATACAGAAATTTTGATGCATTTCTATATACTTTTCTGTTTAAATTAATGGACTCTATTTTTTTAGAGCGGTTTTAGTTTTACAGAAAAATTGAGTAAATAGTTCAGAAAGTTCTCATGTACCCCTTCTCCACTAGACAGTTTTTCCTATTACAACATTTTGCATTAGTGTGGTATATTATATAATAGATATATTAGTATTAACTAAAGTCCATAATTTACATTTGGATTCAGCCTTTGTTTTATATAGTTCTGTGGGCTTTGAAAAATGCATAAGGTCATATATCCACAATTATAATATCATATGGAAGGAACAGTTTTACTGTACTAAAAATCCTCTGTGCCCTGGTTATTCATCCCTCCCTCTCCAAAACCCTAAAAACCACTGATCTTTTTATCTTTAGTTTTGCCTTTTTACGAATGTCATAGAGTTGGAATTATACAGCATGTAGCCTTTTCAGATTTGTTTCTTTTACTTAGAAATATGCCTTCTGGTTCTTCTATGACTCTTTGTGGCTTGATCACTTATTTCTTTTCAGGACTGAGTAACATCCCATTGTTTGGATATACCACAGTTTGTTTACCTTTCAACCCACTGAAGGACATCTTGTTGCTTTCAGTTTTGGGGAGTTATGAATAAAGCTGCTACAAACATCTACATGCAAGCTTTTTTTGTGGACTAGATTTTCTTTTTCTTTTTTTTTTTTTTTTCAACGTTTATTTATTTTTGGGACAGAGAGAGACAGAGCATGAACGGGGGAGGGGCAGAGAGAGAGGAAGACACAGAATCGGAAACAGGCTCCAGGCTCTGAGCCATCAGCCCAGAGCCTGACGCGGGGCTCAAACTCACGGACCGCGAGATCGTGACCTGGCTGAAGTCGGACGCTTAACCGACTGCGCCACCCAGGCACCCCTGGACTAGATTTTCAATTCATTTGGGTAAATACCTAGGATTGTAATTGCCAGAGAATATGGTAAGAGTGCACCTAAGAACCTGTCAGACTGTCTTCCAAAATGTCTGTACCATTTTGAATTCCCACCAAAAATGAATGAGAATCACTGTTGCTCCATACCCTTACCAATATTTGGTGTTGTTTCAGGATTTTGGCCATTTTAATGGGTGTGTAATGGTATCTCATTGTTTTAATTTGCAATTCTCTGGTGACATCTGATATTGAGTATCTTTTCATATGCTTATTTGCTATTTGGTGAGGTCTCTGTTCAGATCTTTTCCCCATTTTTAAACTGTGTAATTTTCTTATTGCTGAATTCAAGAGTTCATTGTATATTTTGGACACAAGTCCTTTATCAGATATGTGTTGTGTAAATATTTTCTCCCTGCCAGTGGCTTGTTTTTTCATTGCCTGAATTGTGTCTTTTGCAAAGTAGAAAATTTTAATTTTAATGAAGTCCAATTTAACAATGTTTTCTTTGATGGATTGTGCTTTTGATGTTGTGTCTAAAAGGTCATCTCCAAACCCAAGGTCACCTAAATTTTCACCTATATTATCCCCTAGAAGTTTTCTAGTTTTATGTTTTACATTTAGGTTTATGATCCATTTATGGCTAATTTTGGTCAAAAGTGTAATACCTGTGTCTAGATCCTCTCTTTCTCTCTTTTTTTTTTTTTTTTTTTTTTTTTTTTTTTGCATATGGATGTCTAGTAGTTCTAGCACCATTTGTTGAAAAGACTATCTTTTCTTTACTGAATTGCCTTTGCTTCTTTGTCAAAGACCAGTTGGCTATATTTGTGTAGGCCTATTTCTGAGTTATTCATTTTGGTCCATTGATCTGTTCATTCTTTCACCAGTATCATACTGTCTTGATTACTGTAGCTTTATAGGAAGTCTTGAAGTTGGGTAACGTCACTTCTCAGTTTCCTTTTTTTTTTGTTTGTTTATTTTATATTTGAGAGAGATAGAGCATGAGCCAGGGAAGGACAGAGTGAGAGAGAGAGAGAGGCACAGAATCCAAAGCAGGTTCCAGGCTCTGAGCTGTCAGCACAGAGCCCAACACGGGGCTTGAACTCGAACTGTGAGATCATGACCTGAGCTGAGGTTGGATGCTTAACCTATTGAGCCATCCAGATGCCCCAGGTAGTGTTAGTTCTCTAATTTTGTTCTTTTCCTTTTTCTCCTACAAATGGGTAATAGTTTATAATTTATTTGCATGCCTCTGTTGTTTAAAGTAGGCATTTTGAATATTATAATGTGGTAACTCAGGTTCTCCTGTCTCCCAGGGTTTGCTGTTGCTGATTGTCGTGGGAGTACTGTTGGCTGTTTGTTTAGTGACTGCTCTAAACTATTTTGTAAAGACTATATTCTTTGTTATGTGTGGCCATTGTATTCTGTGCTTGATTCACTTAGTGGCCAGCTAGTGCTTTGATAGAGATTTTCTTAAATATCTAGAGATAAAATGAAACAAAACTTTGGATTTTTGTAGATTGGTTCTGTGTGGAAACATTTCCTGGATGTTTATCCAGGCTGTTTACAACTCTGCCCTAGCTTTCACTTTTGGCTTTCACAGAGCCAAAGGGCAACCAAAGGTGAAAGTTTAGGATTTTCTTAGCTCTTTTCTGAACATGCATCCAGCCCTAGACATGGGTGGCTTTCTAGATTTCCTGGTTCACATGGAGATTTCCAAAGACTCTTATCTACCACGTATCTCTTTTGTAAGCTTCTTCCTTCCCTGGCTTTTTGATGTGTGTGCTGTTTGTCACATTTGCTATTCCTTGTTCCAGTGCCTGTGGCTAGTATATTTGCCTATAAAGATTTTCAGTAAACATTACCCAGGAGGTTTCTCCAGCCCTGAGAAAGTTTTGAAAAGGGTGAAACAAAGCCAAGCCCCTGAGTGCATCCCTCAGAGAATGCCTAGACAGGTTAAAACACAGAAGCACAATTTTTTGATGATAAGGTCTGTATTGCCTCCCCTGGTACCAGCAAGCTGCATAAGTGGAGAATATATCACATTTAATTATGCAAACAGAAATGACTCTGATAGTGAATGAAAAGGTCACTGGGATTTTGTGTTAGGAAGTGGAGGTCTGAGAGCAATCATCCAATACTTATATGTCTTAATGTATATTGTATTTCTAGAATTTGGACACATATCAAGATGCCCTGAAGAACAGCACAACCCTTTGGGGAATAGCCTTTTAAACATCATGACCAAAGACAAAGAATCTATCACCAGAAGCTTTTGCTTTGTGTACATTTTGACCTTAATAGTTGGAACCATAATCCAGTTCTCTGATGAAAGTGAATTTGCAGTAGACATGTCGAAAATGAAACTTACGCATGTTCCAAAAGACCTGTCACCAAAAACCAAAGTCTTAGATATATCTCAAAACTACATATCTAAGCTTCACATCGCTGACATTAGCTATCTCTTAGGGCTGGAAGTTTTGATACTTTCCTATAATAGACTCCAGTGCCTCGATTTTAGCATTTTCAAGTTCAACCAGGATTTGGAATATTTGGATTTATCTCACAATCAGTTGCAGAAGACCTCTTGCCACCTTATCAGGAGTCTCAAGCATTTAGACCTCTCATTCAATGACTTTGATGTCCTGCCCATCTGTAAGGAATTTGGCAACTTGACGCAACTGAATTTCTTAGGATTAAGTGGTACAAGGTTACGACAATTAGATCTGCTACCAATTGCTCATTTGCATCTAAGTCACATCCTTCTGGATTTAGAAGGTTATTATGCAAAAGAAAGTGAAACAGAAAGTCTTCAAATTCTGAATACAAAAACACTTCACCTTGTTTTTCACCCAAATCAGTTATTCTCTGTCCAAGTGAACATATCAGTTAACAGTTTAAGGTGCTTACAACTGACTAATATTAAATTGAATAACGACAACTGTCAAATTCTAATTAAATTTTTATCAGAACTCATTAGAGGCCCAACTTTACTGAATTTTACTCTCAAACATGTGGAAACAACTTGGAAATGCCTGGTTAGAGTTTTTCAATTTCTTTGGCCCAAACCTGTAGAATATCTCAATATTTACAATTTAATAATAGTTGAAAGCATTGATGAAGAAGATTTTACTTATTCTAAAACGGCACTGAAAGCATTGAAAATAGAGCATGTTACAAACAGAGTTTTTATTTATTCACAGACGGTGTTATATACATTTTTTTCTGAGATGAACATTATGATGTTAACTCTATCAGATACACCTTTTATACACATGCTTTGTCCTCAGACATCAAGCACATTTAAATTTTTGAA